TTTTTATTCATTGAAATAAAAGACTTCATACTTACTATGCGAAATGTTTCCTTCCAACATCACTACTTATAAAGACAGATTTTTAGGATTTCAAATGTTATCACTAGAGTTCTTTATTTAAAATTATATCTCCTGCAGTGCCATGACAAAACAGTATTTTAGCTAGTGGCTGCAATGAATATTTTACGGTACTAAGTGCATTTTCAAAAAAAAAACCAAACCCATTCCTGGCACAAAGCAACTTCTAAGTTCTCCTGCTTTTAAAGAGAGAGGCCTGCAAACCCCCATACAGCTCAGGAGCAGTCCAGATGAACGTGCTCTAGCTGTGGCCTGCTGCTTGTCTTTGAGCCTCCTTGCTGACCTCAAGAAGTCTCTGTAGCTGTATAGATAAAATGAGCAATCATCCAGTAAGTAAGACAAAGGATTAAAACGTGCTACCTGACTAAAAATTGGGTCTACTTTACCATTCTGCTTGCAGGAAAGCACTGCAGTTCTTTAATGCCTTAGACATGCTCTGAAGATGGCATGCAGGTTCAGCTGCCAAAGCATTTTACTACCTGCTAACTAGGGAGATGTCAACAGCCTGAACAGCAAATGGATAAAGGAAATTACTGACCACAGAGTGAATCCTTCATCTTCACCTTGTGCATCATATTTTAATCTCTATATAAGAGGGTGTAAAATTCCATGTATATTATGAAAGTGTAGCTTTCAGTGTTTCTTTCACATCTTCCATTTGAAATTGAAATAAAGCACCTGTCACTTAAAAATCACCAAGAGATTTAGCAAGTTTGTAAGTTTAAAACATTTAGTCTAGATAAGAAATAATATTCTACCTAAACTCACCCAAGAATCTGTGATCATACCGTAAAATGCTCAAAAATAAAACAATGTGCGTTAACATCTGAACTTACTATTAGATTTCAGGGTTTACACAAGGAAGGAGGCAACTGACAACATTGAATTCTGGTGGTTCCTTCTTGTCAGCTGTGAGAGTTCAGTACAATGATAAAACCTCCTCTTTTAGAGAAGGTCCTTTTAATTGTGTCTCACACTTTTCACAAAGTGACTGTGCCACCAGAGCACAGTTCGCGCCTGCTTTAGATGCAGAATAAAAGAAAACACAGTAGCACAAATTCCACCCCACTCGGAATGCAGCACGCTGTGGCTGTGGGAGCTGCTGGAAGAGCTGTCTCCTAAGCAAGAGCTGAAAAATGAAGCATGTCTAAGAGAATTACTTATTCCATCTTTGAAGCTCCGTGTGTCCCCAAGTAAAGGCTTAAAACATCAACATAACTCCAAAATAATGGTTATTAAAAATATTTCCTATAGCTTTAGGATGTCTAATAAGTGACAATCAAGAGACAAATGAAAAAAATTGTGCAAAAATTTACTTAGTATGACAGCAGGAGAGAAATCATTCCTTTGATAACTACTTTTTATCATCTTCTGCTTATTCTTGTCAATACATACCCATTCTGAGGTCTTTTAAAACTGAATTAACAGCCTGATAGATCCTAATGACTTCAAAGGAGCTGTTATGGCCAGTCACCCAGTCGAAGTTTGAGTCCTTATATTGAATAGAAACTGAAGACAGTATTGAATATCCTTATTAAAAATCAATAAAGAGCGAGCATGTGGTCTGGCAGGCTGAAGGAATTGGTAACAAGATCCCTAAAGCCTTCTACTTCTAGGGCAATTACGTATTAATTCCTATGTAGCTGAGTGATGAATGAAAAAAACCTGACAGTGGTAGCTCACCCAACAGATAAATCATTTTTGCCAGATCTCAGAGCATCAGTCAAATTTTCTGATAGGAGAGACAGTCTAAGGCTTTGCATGACAAGACAGATCCACCTTTTCAGATCAAAGCAAAGAGACTTCAGCAAGGAAGCAGAATAAAACATGATTTCTTTTTTCCCCCTGTAGACAGTGTGTTCAGGACATTACTATTCAATATTCATACTTTCAGTATTCATAGTATAAGAGAATTAGTGACAACAGAACATCCTCAGGTTTTGCTTCAGTCTAATTTCAATCAATTATGAGAAAAATAAACTCACATCCCACCGTTTCATCAATTGCCCACTACTCACGAGAAACCCAATCGCTATCTACCACTTAATATTACTCTCTGCAAAATCTAACCAGTCTGTCTTACAAACCAAACTACAGCTAGACAAAGGAAAGACGTGCTTTCAGCATCCATCTTGTCTCCTGCCCAAAACAGGCTCACTGGTTCTTTATAGGACACAAGGGAGCAACAATAATGTGAACACTGGAGAGAAAAGGAATTTCACTACCATTTCTATACAGGAATATGATGAAGAATAAGGAGAAACAGCATGGTGATATTGAAACAGGAGATGAAACCGGAGGAAAACAAAGCTATTTTAGGAACAGAAAAAACCAGTCATATAGATCAGGGTATACAACACACTGAAATAACATAACAACACAAGAACAAAAATATAACTAAAGTAGATTGGAATGTGTACCCTACAGACTCAAATGTTGTTTGAGAAGTTACTGAAGGAAAACAAAAAAACCCCATCCAACAGGATAAAGCCCTCTGGGAGATCTATTTTAAAAGACAAGACCAGATCTATTTTTCCTCACTGCCAATTGTGCAAATGAAGCTAAGCAGCTCAAGTACTCAGCCCAACTCCATTTTCCTTAAAGAGGAAATGACTCAGACCAAAAATTGGGAATCCCAAAATAAATCAAGATAACTATGGAAAGAACACAAACGGTAACACTCTTGATATTGTTTTACTGAACTGAACTTAAGAAAGAAAAATAAAAGAAAAAACCAACTCCCATGAAATACAGGGGGATCTCCTGGGCTTATTTGAATACTGCAAATAACTAACGACTATGATATATAGCAAATTTGTAAGTTGTCTCCTATTTAGTTTCTGATTCCACATGCTGTGAGAGAATTGCCAGTCTTAGAAGAGAAGATCATTTATCCTCCCAAACAGGAGGAGCTGAAAACTGCTGCCAAGAGATGATTTTGAAAAAGGAAGACAAACTAATTTCCAAGTTTCAATCAATCCATAATATTGTTTTCAAGATCATGTACACGGTCACCTCTTGTAGCAGAAGATTTCCTACAAAAAGATCACTAGGTTGATTGGAAGTGTAATACACTAAACTCTGCTGGGTTGCTATCATAAGCACTCAGTGCTATGATTTCACCTACAACCTGTATATGAAAGGCAAACCCACAGCATTATCAAAGTGAGAAATCAGAATTTCAGCGCTCCAAGTTTTACTGTGTAAGAATAATTCTCATAAAGCCTGTTTTGTGATGTGACTGTTCTTTTAGTCAGCAACACCCTTTCCTCTGTGTAATAATTTTGCAGCAGTGTGAAAGCCAGAAATGAAACTCATCTGAAGTGCTGGGTGAATAAATAAGCTCTGTATGCAAGATGCACATTCTTCAGAGATTTCGAGTCTACACTTAGTCCCACTGCAGAATGTGGACAAAGAAACAGATTCACATGGCTCAGCTCGAAGGGCAGAAGACAACTATCTTCAAGTTTACTCTTCTTTCCTCCTTCCATGTCTACACTGTCAACTCTCTCATCAATATCACATACCCTGCATTCTTCATTGCACAAATATTTCTTCTTTAAAATTCTCTTACTTTCTATTATCATCCTAATGTAACTCATTCTGAAGTACCAGGCTTTCTCTTCTGTCATAGGGCACACAATCAGAGACACTTGGCATCTCTGGAAATGTCTCATCTAGCACAGGAACCTCGATGGTTCAGAATGACATTCTTTCCGCAGATATACTATAGACCTCACTGCAACCTCCTGCGTAGTGTTCCTTTCTCTTCATCACATCTTCTGTCTTGTTGCAGAGGCTGGTCACTGTCCAGGAGGTATCCTCCTCACTTGCCTTGTGGTAGACTTTTTCCACATCCCTCCACAGAGCTTTGCCATAAACATCTCTACTGCTCTTGGTCCACTAAAATACAGGTTGGCTCCTCTGCTCCATGGCATGGAGAGCACGCTTTGCTAGGGCTCTGCATGTGTTTGTGTGCATATTTACCGCAAACATTCCTAGGCGCAGTTTGGAAAATGTTTTACTAAAAGGAGCCCTAATGCGCTGCTTCTGTTCTGCTCCTCTGTGCCCTGTGAGCAGGCTGGGCAGTGAGGTAAGTACTCACTCTTTAACGTGCCAGAAGTAAATGGCAACCAATACTCTCCCATGAGTATGTGCTGGCAAAGCAGACGGGAGGGGACTGTACCAGAGGCTCCCAACCCAAAACCCAGCTGATGAATCCAGTATCTGATTCATCAGTTTGAATACCCTGTGATGGAGAAAATCATCATTCTCAAAGCAAAAACTGCAGTGCAAACACATTAAAATACATGGTGTGTCAAACAACGTTAAATGGAAGGTGATTCACATCCACGTGCATCACAGGCCTCAGGGAAACCTGAAAAAATCAAATGTTATTTCTCCCTTTTCATTGCAAATACACATGAAGTATTCAATCAAACTAAAACCAAGGAAAGAAAAAGGAAAAAAAAAATCTGGAAATGAAGATTCTGTTGTTTTAATGTGCTTATATTCCTTTGATTAAAAAAGGTAAAAAACAATGCATGAAAAAACACTGTGAAAACTATGAGCTATTTCTAAACTTACCTGAGGCTTCTCTAAAGTCTGTGTTTTCTCCTGCACATGCATTGTACATGCACACATAGAGACACACAAAATGTCAGTACACTTCGAGAGAAAATTAAGAAAGTGAGTGCAAAGGCCTCGTTCTAAGGAAGCGTTAGGCTTTTAGCTACCTACTTTGCAGACCCCCGTCTACAGCACCAAGAAGTCACCCACTCCCGTGCCAGGTTAGCGAGAGGCTAATGAGGATCTAGCGGTGAGCAGAGAAGTGCTGGACAGACCGCGGCTGGGGGTTAGTGTGAGCCCGGGCCCGCTCAGGCCAGGCAGGAGCAGCGAGGGAGGTGTGGAGGGGCACTTACTGACGCTGCCACAGACCGCCATGCAGTACTCCTCCGAGTCAAAGTTGTTCCGGTTCCCGCCGCAGCCACCGTAAAAGAAGGGCGCGCACTTTCCTTCGGCCACGTCAAAGTACCAGCGGGAGATCATCGCGCGGCACGGACCAGTCTCGGCTTGCTCAGAGCACACCTCTAGTCACAGGAGACCCGGAGGAACCACATTTAGCATGGGAATGGCATTGTCTTGGTTTTCTTAATTAGGTGTTTTTCTACGTGCACGGGTGTGAGGGAGGAGGGAGAGGCACCAAGGATGTGTTCTGGGGAACGGGAAACCCTTCCCTGAAAAACCACCCTGGAGACAATACAGGTAAATTTTGAACGGGCTCAGATTCAGGTCACTAAGCCTCCTTAACCCGACCACACTTTTCTTTTTTGTAGCTACGTTATCCATATTCACTGAGGGTGGTGTTCTGAAACAAGCTTCAGCATGGTGGCAATGGTACAAGTGTGAAGTTCCATCTGCTTCCAGGCCAGAGGAGTATAACAACCCCCCAGCTCCTTCCTGCAGCATTGCTGGCTGCTCATCCTGAGCAGATTCCTGCCCAAGCAGCCCAACTGGTACCTGTCTGGAAGGGGAACACCTAAAAGCAAAAGGAGCCACATTTTTTTTGTTGTTTTTTAGCCATACGTCACCTTCCTGCCCAAACTGAGGTTTCCCAGCTTAGGCAAAAGGAAAAAAAAAACAAAATATGTATTACTTATAGAGGAAAATTCTCTTTAGACACCTATTTATATATAGTCACTGCTGAAACAACTCCCTCTTGCAAGCTGCCTGGTACAGGGTCTTTAATTCATAGTTTGAGGGCTCACATATATAACATTACTGTCACAGCTTTAACCCGTCCATGGGAGGAAATCTCATCCCTGGTGAATATATACAGGAAAGAAATGAAAACAGCTTGTGTTTGTGTTCACTGTGAGCTGCCACAGTCTCTGCCTACATCCTGCAACACATGAAAACCTGAGGGAAGAACCAAACCACACAAATTAAAGGAAGACAAGGCAAATTCTGCCTGCAATTTGGAATTCAGCCAATTAGACATGTAAATGTATAGCCCTTTACCAATAATGTTCCAAACAGACAAAAACTTCTATCTTTCAGTGTGCTACATCAGTCATTTCATACCTCCATAACATTAAACACCAACACGCCCCTCATTTGCTTTCATCCCACATATTGCATTGGCAGACAAACCAGTACATTCAACTAGAGGTTTCTAAATTCTCTGCATATATTTGAATTTTGTGTAAGGGAGATCCCTGAGGGTTGACAGGTATGAAGAAATATCAGCACATTAGCACGAAAAATCTCCCCCCACTCATCACCTCTCAGACACTGGCTACAAAGAATCCCGCATTTCAGACTCTGTACTGATCCATCACTTGACTCTTCCCAGGAGCACCACTATTTATAAATAGATTTTATGTTCAACTGTCATTGGCAGTCAGTGGATAGCTGCATTTCCTTAAATACATAATATAAGTATAATTTTACATGTGTTTTACATATTCACATATTCCCATAAATAATGCCAAGAATCCATTTTAGGGAGCATACATTTGGCCCAAGAGAAACAGATCCAACTCTATCCAACCATCAAGGATGTGCTATAACTGTAGCAATTCTATATTAAGCAATTAGAGAGAAAGGAATAGCAGGGGTTGAAGGAAAACTAGCTTTTTTATTCCACAGCCCCACCTCGAAATAGGTATATTTAATTGTACCACACTTTAATTACAATTAATTTTACACTAGTATATGAGTAATTATAGGCCACATTTAGTATAAAAGTGTTTCTTCTGATTCAGTCCTGCCATCTAATTATGCAGTCACATCTTCACACAAAGCTAACTTTGCACAGCCTTGGAAGGGCTGGCACATGTCAATTAAAAATGAATAGCGACTCCTGACATGCAAGAGACAGGTATAATCAACAGAATTCTTGCTGTCAGGAAATGCCATTTCAAAAAACACAAAGGTCTCGACAATCCAGTCTTTCTTAGTTAATGCTGACTATGGGCTGACCTCTACCCACACAGTAGGTGCCTTCTAGGTTTCTTTCAAAATACTAGCTCTGCTGTGAAGTCCGATTTATTTCATTTTGCACTGTAAAGTGTTATCAGGATGTGAACGGTCCACAGATTTAAGATGAAGTTTCCTATAGGTACCTTTCTCAGGAAATAACAGCAGAGATTTTCTCCACATGTGCAAAAGTAAAGGTAATTGCCCATCAACTAGTCGATGCCAACGATAACAAGGAATTGGCTCTTTGGAAACTGAAGTCACTTACAGGTACGAAGATGCACTTGATCAAGTGCTCAGGAAACCACCAAGTCACATGTTAGAAAGAACAAGCCTGAAGCACGGCAGCCCCATGCCGTGCCCAGGGACCTGCCTCCTGCCTGACCTATCATCTCCCACCAGGCTGCTGGTGACAGTGCAGGGCAGCGGAGGGGCATCCTTGCCTCCAGCCATACTGCTAGTGGTGAGATGTACAGAGTAAATGCTTCACTGCACGGAGTTGTGCAAACAGTTTGCGACCTAAATTAAGATTAAACAAGAGAGGGGAAAAAATGCTCTGTGCTACTGTTTCATGATTGTTCTGTTTAAGTCAAGCGTGTTGCTGGTCACATAGAATCACAGAATTATTGAGGCTGGAAAAGACCTCTGAGACCACCAAGTCCAGCCCATGACCCAACACCATCACATCGGCCAGACCAGGGCACTAAGTGCCACATCCAGCCTCTCCTTAAACACCTCCAGGGACGGTGACTCCACCACTTCCCTGGGCAGTGCATCCCAGTGCCTGAGCACCCTCTCTGTGAGGAAGGGCTTCCTGAGATCCAAACTAAATCGTCCTTGATGTCTACAAAACTTCTCAGTGCCTTCCCAGTGCCAGCACCACCATCTACCACTGCCCATTTTCTGTGGAGCGCTCAGAGCGTCTTCCTTCAGCCCTTTTTTGGGGTGAAGGTACATTTTTAAACCAGCTTCAGTGCCTGGGAAGTTCCTGTGACTCCTGTGCGTGGGCCAGTTACTCCTCCCATGCCTCTCCATATCGCCCTCACTTGCTCTTAGAGAAAAAAGCCACCACATTTGATCCTCAGCTGTATCACCTCATCTGAGAAGATGAGAAAATAGAGTACAGAAATCGGAAACTTAACAAGTTTTCTTGGGCTATTTCTTCAAATAACTTTTCCCCTTCCATTACTATAGAGTGTAGCAATTAATGCCTATGATGGATGAGCTACAGTATTTTCACAGGTATTAGCCGCAGGCAGGCAGCATACACTGCTAAAGGATGCATCAAAAAATTAAAAGCTGTCTTTTCTTCAGATATTAATCTTGCTGCTGAAAACTGATTAAAAGATGATTTACTTTTTGCCACCGTATAATTCAATTTTCCTTGATACTACAATTTTTTATCATGCACAGCATTAACAGTGAGCTTGGTTTTGTTAAGGGAGTTTGTTCACTCTTCCCACTCCCAAGACGTATTTTTGCCTTTGGCTCCATGAAAACAGAAAAAGTCAAAGAGGACAAGCCTTTGTCACAACCTAAGTTCATAAATGGTCTAAATTCTGTTTTCAGATGCTTAACAGTTTTCAAACCATCATTCGTCAAGCTTCTCCTCTATGACCTAAATCAAAGATTACAGTTGCCAATACTGTACTTTCCTGAAATCTTAAATACAGCAAATTATTTTTGAGATAATCAGAAAAGTATAATTTAACTTTCCTCGTTCCATGTTTCCTATACTTATTCCAGCCTCTTGATGCAAAAAGAGTTGCTTCTAACCAAGCAGGTAGATCATTCTCTGAAGGACAAAGCTGTGGCAAAGTTTTTTTATTTGCTTTTAAATTAATAAAGTGATACACTGAAAATTAGCTACACTAAATATTGGCACTGTGTTATTTTTAATTTGAAAAGCATAGACTTGAGCACCCTAAGGAACACAGTCTTTGAGAATGTGGACGTTGATTTATAGTGACTTCACACCAAGTACTTCCACAAATGCTTATTTATGAAAATGCTGCAAGTAGAGCTAATTAGAATTTATATGCAAACAATTTAGATACTTGTGATGATCATTTTTTACAGAGGGAAATATATGGTTCTGAATGACATTTTAAAATTCTTCTTTAGCATATAAATTGTTTTTTTCCTGTTCCTTGAAGAAAACCAATTTTAAATCAAAGTGAAATTATAATTGCTTTATTTCAAAATCTCAACACCGTGTTGTTTGTTCTCCCCATATGGGACTAACAGTTACTCTGTGAATACCAAGATTTTCAGCTGAGGAACCTGAAATAAAATGTAAACTTCTAATGGGGGAAAAAAATTAAAGCTACCTTTTCATTCTTTTATTGCTGTAAACATCAAAGTTACTCAGCATTTTCTTCAGGATTTGAATTTATTTACATGATCATGAGAATGAAGCTCATTTAAATGCTGGCACAGGCAGTCCCAAACCTTAAGCCAGAAACTAAATTTGGAGAAATTTAAGATAAAAAGGACAAACTGAGGAGTTAGACTACCAAGTCCAACCTGTCTCGAGGTTGAGTCCTATGTTTGGAATGCTGCAGTAGAAAGATACCATCATCCACCAACCTGGCTTATAAATATTAAATGTTCTTTTATTTAGCCATGGTAACAAAATACATTGTACTGATGACTTTCTATACTACCTGCCTTTCAAGTCTGAAGTTAATGTTGTTAAATCATACTGATGGCCTGACCCAAGTCTCTGGCACTGGAACACGTTTGCCTTGTCTGCGTTCTTGCCCATTCAAACTGTGAACCATAAAGACGCGGGATCTGAGCAAGTCTTAAACAAGGACCCAAACCCCTTAGCTGCTTAAGCACAGGATTATAATCTTGTATTTTACCATTCATATTTCATTAAAGAACAGAGAAGTCGATTAAAGCAAGAGAGGCCAAAGGAATAAAGCTCTCAGATATATATTATGAAGTATATGCTCCACTTTATCACGCACGAGTATATATAATATTAAAACTGGAGTAACTTTGGCTTTCGTGTCTTCAGGAACTGAAAGCTACAGTTTGAGAATATTAATACATGTGTATCTATATTAGTCTCCATTTTTTAGCTAGTTGAGAAAAATTAGAC